TAGTAGCACTAGCAGTAGTAGTAGTGATAGTAGAAGTTGTTATTGCTGTTGCTTTATTGTAAAACAAAATTTTGTGTGGATTATCTTCAGCATTCTTAATAACAACACTACCTTCGTTATTAACTGCATATTAATTCCATTTATATGGTGTATGGCTCTGATTAAAAGCAACACAATTACCAACACTATCATTAACATCACGACCATTCCAGCTTTATTACAACGTTAAATACAGTTAATGCAGCTTCCCTTTATTTACAGAGAATAATACATGGTGCTAGACTTTTATTAAATTATTAAAACTCGTGAATCCAAGAACGCAAATTCACGAATCCGGGAGAACGCGCATTTGAATTCAAGAACGCGAAACTTATATTAAGGACAAAAAAAAAGAAAGAAAAACGAAAGAGAGAGAGAGAGAGAGAGAGAGAGAGAGAGAGAGAGAGAGAGAGAGAGAGAGAGAGAGAGAGAGAGAGAGAGAGAAAGAAATTGAGATAAATACGTGGAATTGAGAATGAAAAATAAGAGAGAGATTGAAATAATTACGTGGAATTGAGAAACAAGAAAGTGATAGAGAATTAAGAAGCTGAGTTTGTGAAATTGACATTGAGAACGAGAGAGTGAGATACAAGAAAGTCAACTTGACGAATCTAAAATAAAGAAATGAATTTATAAATAAGTAAAAACGGAAAAAAAATCAATCGATTCAAAATAAATACTAAAAATACATATATATATATTTTTTTAAATGCAGTTAAAACGTGATTAGATAAATAAATAAATAAATTAATCAATGAAAAATAAAAAAATGAATACATAAAAAAACGTGGGAACCATTATATAAAATAAAAATTAAATAAATAAAATTTATATCTTTTAAAATTATAACTCATGCAACTGTTTATTTTTTTCTTTTCTTTTCATTCAGTTTTATTACTGATATTACTATCATTTGTAAATGCTGACTGGCAGGGAAAAGGAACTGATAAGAATTCTATCTTTTGAAGAAATTGAAAAAAGGAAAAAAAAATCATGCAGAGATAGCAATGTCCTTGTATTTATTTCCTTGATTGCTTCGTAAATTTATATATATATTTTTTTCTTTTTCTTTTTAGGATGACCTTGCAAGATATGTCAGCTGTATATAAAATTTTTCATGGCGTTGTTACAGCTTGTGATAATGTTAATGATTCGATAACAACATCCTTTGATTGCTATAATTTTGCATGATATATATATTTCATACAATATGTATGCATCTGTGTGTATATCATATTATACACATACACACATACACATACACACACACATACACACACACACACACACACAGAGAGAGAGAGAGAGAGAGAGAGAGAGAGAGAGAGAGAGAGAGAGAGAGACAGACAGACAGACAGACAGACAGACAGACAGACAGACAGGAAAAAAGAAAAACAGAGAAAAGGGAGCGAAAGCGATAGAAAGAAACAAACAATGATAGTAAATGAGAGAAGGTAAAAAAAGAAAGATAGAAAGAGGAAAACGAACAAAAAAAAAGAAAGAAAAAAAAAGAATATATATCATACACACAAGATATAAAGAAACCAAGATAGTAAAAGAGAGAAAAGGTAAAAAAACAAGAAAAAAATAAGAGAGAAACAAACAAACAAAGAATAGAAGATACGCAAAAGCTTAATAAGGAAAAGGCGAATTAGATGGGCGGGAATGACGTCATCAACTCATCACCTACCCACGGGGAATGTGTGACGTCACCACCGCTCAGCCGACGAGCCACTTCAAGTCCTTTGCTGCCCTATTTTTTTTTTTTTTTTTTTTTTTTTTTTAAGGATGTCAAAGAGGAGAAGGGAAGGTTCAATGTATAGGGGTTATTCTATTTTTTTTTTCTCTCTCTCTTCTCTTTCTCTCTCTCTCTCTCTCTCTCTCTCTCTCTCTCTCTCTCTTCTCTCTCTCTCTCCTCTCTCTCTCTCTCTCTCTAACTGTATTATTCTTTTTCTCTTTGTTTTTTCTTTATCTTTCTTTTTCTCTTTCTCATATTCTCTCTCTCTCTCTCTCTCTCTCTTTCTCTCAATCTCTCTCTCTCTCTCTCTCTCTCTCTCTCTCTCTCTCTCTCTCTCTCTCTCTCTCTCTCTCTCTCTCTCTCCATTCCTCTCTCTCTCTCTCCCTCCCCCCCTCCCTCTCACACAGACCCACACACATAAACAACCTCCCTCCCTTCCCTCCCTCACCCCCCCCCCCCCCTCCGCCCGGCCCATTAACCACCCAAGTCGAAACAGTTAAACCATTAATAAAGATATGATGAAAAGAGAGACTGTGATGCTGTGGTATGATATTGCAGTAATATCGTTTGATCTGTGAACTATTTGTTGTGTCTGCTAATAAAAAAATTCCATTACGCAATAATGATATGGTTCTTCTTTAAACAAAACAAAACAAAAAAGTCACTGTGGTTTCGTTTCTGTCTATGTGTTTATATATCTGTTAATCATATATATATATATATTTTTTTAAATCGAACTCTAAGATTTGCACACCCATACACAGACACACACACATGCATACACACACACACACACACACACACACACACACACACACACACACACACACATACACACACACATATATATATATGTGTGTGTGTGTGTGTGTGTGTGTGTGCGTGTGTGTGTGTGTGTATGTGCGTGTGTGCATGTATATGTATATATGTGTTTATGCATAAAATACACACGTACACTGATATTTGCATATGTGTACTTGTAATAGATTCCCAACTACTAAATGCACTGGCTATTTAAGGCACTGATGAACATGGATTCATAACATCTGTTGCTGATTCCACACTTGTGATGAGAACTTTACACTTGCATGTGTTATTTGTGTGAACTTAGTCATAATCCTATCAGTAACATGTTTTCATTTACTTCACACATATACGCATTTACATACACGTATACACATACCCACATACATACACACATACCCACACACACACACACACACACACACACACACACACACACACACACACACACACACACACACACACACACACACACACATAAAAACACACATACCCACACACACACACACACACACACACATACACACATACACACACACACACACACACACACACACACACACACACATAAAAACACGCATACACACACACACACACACACACACACATATAAACACACACACACACACACACACACACACACACACACACACACACACACACACACACACTTACACACATGCACAGACACACACTTACACACGAAAACCCACAAACCATATAACAAGAAATAGGGAAGCCAACCATAACAAGCATATAAAAAAAATAATGATATCAACAACAAGAACAACGTTAATAATAATAATAATAATAATAATAATAATAATAATAATAATAATAATAATAATAATAATAATAATAATAACAACAACAATAACAATAACAGCAACAATAAATACATAAACAAATTCACAAATAAACAAAATGAAATAAACAACAACAACAGCAAAGTAACGTAAAGGACTAAAATATGTTTACGAATAAAAACAAGTCTATCCAATCCTCTCATGTGTTTCTGTAATACGATAAGGGCGAAGTCTGGTAGGGTTACTGTAGGAAATGCGTCTCTAAGCCATATGTGTTCCTGTCTTTTTAAGGGAACGCGTTATAATACGAATAATAATAATTATTAATTAAGAAGGATAGATATAATAATAATAATAATAATGATTAATAAAAAGGGATAGAGTTATGATATATATATGATGTGATATAGATGTAGAAATAGACAATGAGATAGATATTGTTGATAGATGTAGTCATGACTGTGAAGTAGATTCTGTTGGAAGACAAATACTAATATAAATATATATATTTTTTAATGAACAAATTGAGGCAAGCGATCACCACAGATAAATGAATGATAATGATAAAGACATAATATAACAATAATGAAAATGATAATGATAATTATCATGAAAAAAAATTATGATGATAATGGCGATGAAAAGAAATTATGGTAATGACAACAATGATGATGATGGTGATAAAAATAATAATAACGATAATGTTAATTATAATGATAATAATAATGGTGATAATCAGATATTACTAGCAATGATTATGATAAAGATAACAATAATAATCATCATCATTATTATTATTACTATGATATTAATGAAAGTAATAATTATAATAATAATAATAATAATGATAATGATAACAATAACGATAACGATTATAGCAATGATTTATAATAATAATATTAATTATCATAATAATGACAAAAATAGTAATAATAAAAATAGCAATAATGACAATAACAATAATGATAACGATGATAACAATAACAGCGTCATTAACAACACTGAGTAAAGATAAAAAAAAAACATAGTAACAACAATAACAGAAAATAGTAAAAACAATAATAAAATAATAAGAAGAAGAATAACAAAACGTAATAAAAAGAAGACAGGAAACAGAACGCAGGTTAATACATGAGTAAACACCCTTCCCTTGTCTCTCCTACGGCACAAATACAACAAAAAACAACGAAACAACAATGAAACAATAATTAACAACAACAAAAGCCAACGAAGCAACAATGAAGCAATAATAAACAACAAAAGACGACAAGGACATAATAACAGAGGACATATAAGTGCAAGTAAACAACAACAAAGCCACGATAAACAACATAAACAAAAACAAAACACAACTAAACAACAAAGGTGTATTAAAACAATGAAAAGTAAACATGTTATTATTTACGATATTGACAAGAGAGAATAATGATGATGATGACGATGATGATGATGATAGTGATGATGTTGATGACTGATTTGATTTGATAACATCTATTTACAGTGTACATGCCCTGCAAAAAGCCAGGGTAAGATACCAAAGCATTAATCCAAACTGGCTGTGCTTCTATTTGTGTAGAGGGCTATCAGTCAAACATTAGTGTCAACATACATGC